TTTTTCCATCCTATTATTCAGTGAAATGTGTCGTCTTCGAAATTATCACAACACAAAAGAAATCTCTAAGGAAGAAAAGCTAATCCTATTAGATTTACTTGATGAGAAGACTTGGACAGGGTGTTGGTGCCTTGGTGGATGTCAAGGAGCTGGGCTGAAAAGGCTTCAAGCCTGTCTGCCTGATGGTGCCAATAAACCCATATATGAGAATTTCCCAAGTCCAGCAGTATATGTCTTCAATGAGGGACAGTTGTGGGGTTTTGTTTGTGTTTGTTTTTGTAAGACAACAAAATGTTGTCACGCTGACAAAGACAATTTAAGTCTCAGAAGAGGACTCCGAGAAGTAGGGGGTTTGTCTATGGGTTTCATGCCCCGAACAGTGCCGTGCATGCTGTCTGCATGGCATAGTGATCTAAAGACTGGGACTAGATTTATGCACATCACTGCATTACCCTGCAGGTACAGCAGGTACAGAGTGTTAGTCAGATTAACCACTTTCTCCTTCCACAAAGTTTGAAATCACACAACCCTCTTTTCTTGGTATCTTTTCAACTGTCTGTCTACACAGACTGTGCTGCAGGGGCATACCACCTTCATCTGATGCTCAAAAGACAGTATGTTCTGGGGTTGGAGATGACTCAGAGAACTGGTCATTGAGAATCCTCAGTCGGTGTCCATTACTCATTATATAGAAATGAGCATCATGACTCTCCAGTCCCAAGATATGTAGCAAGAGATGCCCATGCTGTTAACGAACCCCAGAAGAAATCCTTTGTCTTTCAGCATTTTCTCTTAGATATTAGCCCCGTGGTTTAAATAGATGAGAAAAAATGGTTTTCCAGGGTCTGTTTTATGGGAATAAACTCTTAAGCATCTTTGGTGTGTGCCAGACAGTTGCCTCCATGGTGAAGAAAGAAAAAAAAAATCAGTGAATGTAAAGAAAAGACAATAGCTAAAGAGTCTCAGTAGAGAACAGTGGGGTAGAAGACAGAGATGAAGTTATGAGGAAATAGGAGCAAGATCACATTGGTAGACCAGCTCTCAGAAAATAATTTAAAATTAAATAACAGCCCAAATGTAGACTGTATATGGCCAAAAATCTCCATATTTTATGCTATAAATATTTCTACTATGACTAAACCTTTGTTACCAATAGCTGACAAGGGTTGAAATTTTTTCCAAAGTTTAGCAATCAGCTCTAAGAACAAGTGAGTTGGCTGAGCAGAGCAACAGCAGCAGCAAATGCCCAGAAGTGCTTGCCAGCCAATGAAGAACCCACATGGGACCCCTGGGATTATGACTCCTTCCTTGGTAATTAATACATGCTTTTTCTAGCTCTGTCTTTTTAAAGATACCAATACTATGTTTTACTTTAAGGAGTTTGTATTTACATCCTATTATTCAAGAACGGTTTTCCCAGCGAGAGCTTGAATCGAGTGAAGTAGGTGATGCCTCAAAGTGACAGGCACCTCTGTTCACAGGGCACAGGGTAAAGATTTTTTCTTCAGTGAACCCTTGTTACATCTCAGACTCTGGTCTTTCTGTGATGTATCTTCTAAAAGGATGCTAAAAGTTACACTCTAAAATAAGCCAACATCATTCAAATGTTAGAGCTACACACACACACACACACACACACACACACACACACACAAATATTTGCCATTAAAATGGTAGCCTTCCAGAATTTTTTTTTCATCTTGCGTTTACATAAAATGATCACAGGCCTAAATTTACAAATGAGGAACCTGTTTGTAGGCATCCTGTTGACCCCTGCATTCCAGGTCTGGCTGCTTCTCCTTCTGCTTTATCTGTTCCTTCTAGTCCCCTAACCACAGCAGAGCTGACCTGAAGGTAATTAATCCCTTCCAGCCACGTATGTACCATGACTGAGCAGTCTGACTTTTGAAACAAAATCTAATTTGGCGATATTTCAGTTTGTTGAGTCATAAGGCGGACAAGTAGCTACAACCCATGAGACTGCGTTTCCTGAGGCAGAGCATGTAGGAGGGAAGCACGTGGCTTTGTTTGGCATGGTCCTCTCTGTACTTCCACCCGAGGCCACAGCCTCATTATGAACATTTCCTCTCTACTCCATTCAACTTAGGCCCCCATGAATCCAACGCAATGATCAAATCTTCGAAACCACTGCCAAGACTCATGATCAGTAACGCCCAAATTTCAACTTTCTCCTGCTCTGTGAAAGTGCCCTCCCAGGAAATGACAACAGTTGGTGACTGTTAATCCATGAACAGTGGGCCATCTCTTACAGGATTGATAACAGCTAGTTGGGAAATGAATTTCCTGTTGTTAAAATTTCCATCTCTTAAGATATAAACCATTAAAGCTATCTTTATGAAAGAGACTAGATTGACACCAAACAAAATTATCTGTCATAGAAAACAAATGAGAAGAGTACATTAAGTTCTTGTGCTACATAAATAAATAGATTATAGGTAGAAATATAGATAAATAGATGATAGGTAGATAGATAGATAGATAGATAGATAGATAGATAGATAGATAGATAGAGCAATAGCAGTTTTCTTTTAGCTCTGTGTATGGCTTTCTCATCCAGAATCTTAAGTATTGAAATGTCTTATATATACCCCATTTCAAAACGGGTGATAATTCTCTCAATTTATAATTGAGAAAGCTCAAGTTCACACAACAGAGAAAATCTAGTTGATACCCAACCTCTTAATGTTTTATGCTACTCATACAGGCAAATGACATGTAAAGAGACATTGCTTGTCTGACCTACCAACAACAGAACTTAGTCTAAGAGAATAGGGATTTGCCTGAAGGTCAGGGAGTAGTCAGAACTGCAGCAGGAGGAGAAACTACACAGAAGCCTGAACTGCCATGCACTATTAGAGAATAACTCATCATTCTGTATACACGAGCTACATGTATGAAATGTGACAGTCATATAACAAAGAGTTTAATTTCTCTTATGAGCTTTCCCTTTCTTTTTTATGCCACAAGAAGTATTCTGTTTAAATAAAAATTTGATACATTATACCTAGCAAATATCTATCAAAACTCACCTCTGTGCAGACATTCAAAGTTTGATTATGCTGTCCACAGGGTAAGGCCGAGAGCTCTTAAAAGTGTTGTTGCTCTCCAATCCTGTCAATGGGTGTATGCTGAGTCTCTGTACTAAACTGAAATGTTACTATAAGAAAAGGTCACACACAACTTATATCCCTGTTGTGGATATAAAAACATACAAAAAAAGGATGTATTTTTTACTAAATGATGCTCTGACGGCACTTGTATTTTCATGTTTAATTATCATTCATGTGGCTTGTTGTATTTAATGAAGATCAAAATCAGCAAAGCATGTTGAGTTGACATGCAAGGATTTTCATTGATTAATTTATTCTATGTCTCGGTTGTCACAGGATATTTGCTCCCATTGTGAACCCTAAAATTGTGAATTCCAAAACCCTGTTTCTTGTTTGATGTGGTTGAGCCCTATCACACACCTTTAATCCAAGAACTTTCTGTTTATTGTAAACAGGTGATTATTGTGTGGTTCACACAGCCCTAGCACACACCTTTAATCCAAGAGCTTTCTGTGTACAGGATTTAATAAAGTTAACCCTGGTTTCTAGGCCGAGCAAGAAACCAGCTGACAGAGGCTAAAGAGTAGAGGGACTTTAAGTTGAGGGGTATTTAAGACAGCACGGAGAAGTAGAAAGCATTTTTTAGCTTAAGCTCTGGCTTTAGCTTAGGCTTCAGCTTCTCAGCTCCCTGGCTTTTTAGGCTTTGAGCTAGCAAGCTTTGGGTTTTTGAGGTGTGCTTTTCCTCCTGGGCTGTTAGTTGAAGTAGTGAGTCTTTTGGGTTTCTTTCTTTTTTTTTTTTTTTTCATTTGGACCTGAGCTGAGAAGGTTGGTCATCTGGGTGCTTTCTCTGCTCTCTGAGCTAGCAAGTTTTCACCCAAGCATGTGGCTCCTGAGTCTTTATTGGTCAAACAGAATGGTTAGGATTTTCATCTTTTTAAAACAACCCTCTATCTGTATCTCTTTTTGTCTGTCTCTCTGTCTATCTTTGTCTGTCTCTCTGTATGTTCTTCCCTCCTTCTTCTGTGTGTGTGTGGGGGGGTACATATGGAGGCCACAAAAAGGTGTGAGATCCTCTTGAACTGGAGTGACAGCCAGTTATAAAGCACCCTTTGTGGATGTAGAAAACCAGACTCTGATCCTCTGAAAGAGCAGCAAGTGCTCATAACCACTTAAGTCATGCCTCTAGGCTCACAACTGATTAAATTTTAACTTTAACATAGTGGGAAGTGGGGTGTGGTGGTACTGTGTGATATTTTTTACTTTTTTCTTTATCTCTCTTTTGTGCCTGCTAGAAGAACATCCTTAGTTAGATAATATAAGACATGGCCATGACTCAACTGACCAAAAGATTCAGAGAAAAGTTGCTAAGTCATAACTGTCTTCTGAGAGAACTCACCCAGAAGCTGATCTAATCAGATGCTGAGATTCACAGCCAAACATTAGGCAGAGCTGGAGGAGTTCTGTGGAAGAGTGGGGGAAGAATAGAAGGGCCTGGAGGGGACAAGATCACCATAAGAAGGCCAACAGAGTCAAATAGCCTAGGCCCATGGGGGCTTAGAGGAATGGAAGCACCAACCAAAGACCAGGCATGGACTGGACCTAGGCCCCTACACATCTGTAACCGATAGGCAGCTTAATCTTCATGTGGGTTCCCTAGTAAGTTGAACGGTTGCTGTCTATGACACGGACTCTATTGCCTGCTTTTGATCACTTCCTCCTAACGGGGCTGCTTTGCCTGGCCTCAGTGGATGAGGATGAGCTCAGTCCTGATGCTACTTGAGGTGCTGGGGTAGGTTGCAAGCGGTAGGGAGCATAGCTTCCCTTTTTTTTGAGGTGAATAAGGAGAAGGGGATGTGAGGGTGGGACCATGAAGAAAGGAGGGAGGGGGGCTACAATCAGGATGTAACCTGAATATATAAATTAAAATAAATTAAAAAAAAAGAAAATGTACTAAGTCAGTCAGTGCTGGTGCTATGTTAACCTTGTATCTCTGCTGCAAATGATGTCACACTGCCGCCATTATCAAGAGCACCGGGAGCAGACACTGCTGCCAGGAAAAGGCCAGGCTGTGCAGCAGTTTACTGAAGCTCTCTGCTGTGTAAACTTTTAAGGAGTGATGAAATCTGGATAGTGTGTTACTTCTGTTTTTTCTTCCTGACTGGAAATATTCAGCAATGTAAACTCACACATTGGGAGTGTGTGTGTGTGTGTGTGTGTGTTTCAGTTTATTTTTCTTTTTCACCTTCTGATTCGAGTGATTTGTGTTACACATTTGCTCACATGGATAAAGCACAGGAGAGCCACAGAATAACACTTCCGTGAAGAGCACACAATACCCTGCAACACAACCCTTTCAGGAGCAATCCCGGCCTACTATGTGTTGTTCCATTACATTTAAATGTTGGAATAACCCATGGAAGTTATTTCAGGAAACGCTAATGTGGACTGTGACCTGGCTTCTGTAATAGCCAGAAGCTGGAAACAACCCAGACGTCCCTCAGTTGAGGAATGGATACAGAAATTGTGGTACATTTACACAATGGAATACTACTCGGCAATTAAAAGCAAGGACATCATGAAATTTGCAGGCAAATGGTGGCAACTAGAAAAGATCATCCTGAGTGAGGTAACCCAGAAGCAGAAAGACAAATATGATATATACTTACTTATAAGTGGATATTAGCCGTATAATATAGGATAAACATAATAAAATCTATAGTCCTAAGGAAGCTAAACAACAAGGAGTACCCTATGGAAGATGCTTAATTCTCATTCAGAAGGGTAAACAGGATAGACATCGAAAGTAGAAGAAGAGAAGGAACAGGACAGGAGCTTTCCACAGAGAACCTCTGAAAGACTCTACCTACCAGGGTATCAAAGGAAATACTGAGACTTACAGCCAAACGTTGGACAGAGTGCAGGAATCCTTAAGGAAGAAGAGGGAGATAGAAAGACCTGGAGGGGACAGAAACTCCACAAGGAGAACAACAGACCCAAAATACCTGGACCCAGGGGGACCTCTAGAGACCAATACTCCAACCAAGGACCTTTCATGAACAGGACCTAGACCCTCTGTTCAAATGAAGACCATTAGCTGCTCAGTTTCCAGGTGGGTTCTCTAGTAAGGGGTACAGGGGCTGTCTCTGATGTGAACTCAGTGGCTGGTTCTTTGATCACCTCCCCCTGCGGGGGGGGGGGGAGTGCAGCCTTGCCAGGCCACAGAAGAAGATGATGCACCAGTCCTGATGAGACCTGATAGGCTAGGGTCAGATGGAAGGGGAGAAGGACCCCCCTATCAGAGGACTAGGGGAAGGGTGTAGGGGGAGAAAAGAGAGAGTGAGTGGGACTGGGAGGTGATGGGGGCTGCAGTGGGAATACAAAGTGAATAAATTTTAATAAATAAATATATAAATAAAGTTAAAGTAAATAAACATATTTCAAGAAGAAATATTAAACACCTAGAAGACTTGATAAAGATTCTCAATATGGCTTTTCCCTCTGGCCACTGATTTCCCTGTCTAGTGAAAGACTGAGTCAATCTTGAATCTGAATGTAACTCCCCAGTATAAACATGCAACTTCATCCCTGATACAGTTTCCTTCTCTGTACAGTGAGCCGGTCCAAAGGATCAAAGAGGTCATTAGGGAAATCTCAGGCACTGTCTTGATCAAGAATTGCTATCTGGTAAGGAACTATTCCTTGCTTTCCTTCCCATTGGGTGCTTTATTTAAATCAATAGTGACCACAATCCCTGTGGCAACAAGAGACCCCTAAGGAACCCAGGCAAGCAAAACTTTTCTTCAGCCCATAAGGTTGGTGCTACAACCAGCAAAGAAAAAATTGGCACAGTGACTAGAAATTCATTTCATACAAAATCAAATGGAAAAAAAAAAGCCCACAGATTGTGAAACACTACCTTTGTGATTTTTCTGAGTTGAGAACCTTCCTTCACTCTTTAGAGAAAAAGATGATCACACGACATAACCATTCTTATTTATGTCTTCACTGGGTCAGACAGACAAAAAAGATTGGGTGTAGCCCTGTTGAGTTTTGAGTTGGTGACTACAACAAAACTTGGAGGCAAACTTGCTGCTGAGTGTAAGCAGATTCAGTGCTACCAAGGTGGGCTCACCCGTTACCCGACTGGCTAGCCCTCTTCTTTTTTGTAATTTGAAGTCCCACAACCCAGCGCCTGCAAATCTGTGCTAATACCACTATTTATCTTGTTGAAGGAAAAGCTGATGACATCTGTGAGTACAAGGAAGGCTCTCCTCTAGGGTGCATAATCCAGGGCTCGGTGCTTCTGGGTCCTTGTCACAAAAACTCCAAGAACAGATTTCACGGACAAGGGGTGAGTTTTAAGAAGTGTTATTACTATAGAAAGGAAAGGTAAGAAGAAAGGGTTAAGTTTGTGTCAGAAAGCAGATCCCCGAGAGTAAGGACTATCCTTGCCTGGCCACCCCATTGGGCTGGCCATTTAGGACCTGTGGCAGACATGGACAAAGACTGAGATAGTTTCTGGTTAAATTGGTTAGTTCTCTGGGCTATCATGAGCACAGTCAATGGAGGGCCCATACTCATGCTCTTTGTCTCAAGCAGTGTGATATCTATATGTTGCCCAAAACCCTTTTAGTCCATTTTTGAGTTCTGTCTTGTTAGCTGCCATATTTTGACTAACAATGAGCTCCGTGTCCTTCCCTGGGTTGTCACTGTCAGCCTTGCAGGTATTGCTGGCTACTATACTGTGGTCCCTTTGTTCTCACTACTGCATGACCATACTGTAGTTTTACCCCAAAAGGAGCTGACTCGTATCACAGCTACCAAGATGTAGCTACAGTTCCTCTCAGTTGTTCTAGCTTCTAGTCCATTGGGCATTCTGGGTGGTCTCTACTTGAATAGGTAGCTTCTTGTTAGGCTCCATCTTTACCCACAATTCAGTAGGTCTTCCTGCAGACCTATATAGAAATTTGACTATCATTACAATGATACTAAGAACTAGGGTCTTTGAGGTGTAATTAAATCATTAGAGTTCTGATGTCACTGAGGAATTGAAACCATTAGTGGGAGGTACCTTAGTTCCAGACGCGTTTGGAATAGAACGTTCAGCAATAACCCGAGTATTCCTGTGTTTGTGGGTCTCAAGGGTTTCCTCAGTGTTAGCCCCATTCTCGGGAAGTATCTTGAAATCCATGTTGAAACCGCAGGTTTGCAGCCGGCCGGCTTGGCAGTCCCAACAAGCAGCAAGCATGCCCTAGCTGCCTTCTCTGGCATGGCTGGCCCTGACTCTGCTCTATCCAAGATCATCATCTGCTCTAGTCTGAACACAAGCCTAGGTGAGGAAACAGACCAACCAACACTGCCTTGATACCATAAGCTTCCCTGTGGTGTCCAGGGTTAAAGCCATATACCAACTACATGGGCTGATCGTGGCAGAGGGGAGAGTCCTCTTCTGGGAAACTGAGCTCTGAATTTAGAAGAAGGGAAAAGATTGGTGCAAGAAGGTGCAAACTGGAGTTGGAAGAAATTACAGACTGTAAGTGAAGGTTAACACTAATAGCTGACTGAGTTCCCTTAAACAGCGATCTCTCTATTGATACATTCAACGTCTTTGTTTTATCCCCACCACAAAATAAAGCAGTTACACAGTAAGCTGTGGATGGAAGACAAGGGAGGGTGTTTTAGCTACAAAGTCATCAGGGTGAGGAAGGGTAGATTTGAGCCTCTGCCTTCATTCATGGTGTCCTAGGCTCAAAGCAGCTACTCCTAGATGTGGTGAAGGACCTTTTTTTTTTTTTTTTTTTTTTTTTGCAGATGGCCACCATTTCCTTGCAGTGTCCTCGGGGAAGGAGGGGTAGACACTAGGACTCCGGATAGGCAAATCTCTGAACTCCTATAGGGGCTATAATCTTATTCTGACCCTATCAGAAAGAGATGACCTTTATGACCCCATCTATATCTGATTATCTTCTGAAGTTTCAGCCCCTGATGCAATCACAGTAGATTGCCACAGCGGAGGGGAAACCATCATTCAGTCCATTGTTAATAAAGCTGGAGAGCGCTACTTCTGCTTCATTTATTCAGTAGCTATTTGCAGGGTGCTTAAACAGTACCAACGATCTACACAGATGCTCACTCATGTCATCTTAGACGATCTTGGATAGCACAAATGCTACTATTGCTTCTCTGTTACACGTGAGAGAAACATAAGCTAAGAGGGGTTAGATAAATTGCCAGGGAGCATTTTGTGGGTCTGTGTTGCAGCTGAACTTTTAGCCCTAAAAAACAGTGTGTCTCTGTGGTGAGCATCCCAGGCAAAGGGCTTCTTCCACTTTGCTTCCCTCACAGAAGCACAGAATCAATGGTGTTCCAGCAGGATCCAGAGTTAAAAACCAACCATGACAACAAAAGGAATGCAAAACTGGAGACTATTTAGACAGACTCTGAAATGTTTTAAAGGTTTAAACAGAGAGCTACAAACATGTCAATAATTATCTATCAAGTCTGTTGTAGTGGCTCCTAAGCCTAAGAAGCATTTGAAAGGTGGAAGGAGGAGGTTTGAAGTTCAGTAGCTAGTCCTAGGTCAGCCTGTGGCTACAGTAGTTGTAATAATAATGATAATAATTTCAAAGACTCAGTCTTACAGTACAGATAGATTCATACAACACGAAAACAGAGTTGTATCAGCAAGCTAATAGTCATATACACCCATAGTCCTTAGCACTTAAACTGGTGGCACCGTGGCCTTTTCTATCCAGGGACCCTCCTCCCCCACCTTAGCCCAGCACAGCTCCTCACAGCTTTCCTGTGGACTTTCCTTAGTTAAGACAAAATTTAATCTGCCATCAGCAGGGTAGTGATATTTCAGCAAACACTAGAATTTGGGAAGTTCCCGAGCTCAAAAGACAAAGAGGAGATTGCTACAGTGTTCTAAAATAAACACTGACCTAATCTTGGCAAGGATCTTTCTCCTCACCCCCCTCCCATGACAAAAACCACCACTGGCCAAATGCTATTTACTTAATACTACAAAAAAAAAAAAAAAAAAAAAAAAAAACAGCAGGAAAAGGCAAACATCCTCACAAGGGATAAGAGACAACAGAGGTATTTTTAAAGAATGCATTCATCTGAGACATGAATAGAATATGCAGAACTCAAAAGACAAGAGAAGCTGCCATTTCCCCTAACCTTCCAAACCACTGTAGATCCAAGCAAGGTCCTAAGTGGGGCAGAGCCCATGTGCACATAACGGGTATGACAAGCCTTGCCTTGTGCACTGAGATCCCTGGAGACTCACAATTCCCCGTGACCTGTCACTTCTCTCGCAAAGCACGTCACTCCCTCCCCTTTGGGACTTGGGGACATAAAGCAAAAATCCCAGAGTCTAATCCTTGGGAGTGGTGCAAGGAGGAGGAGCTATGACCTTTCCGGTTGTGGGGAAACACCCTGAGCTCCGGGAATTTCCCTGGCCCGGAGCTCTGGCTTTTTAGTATAAAAGGGGCTGGACAGAGCCTTAGAGCTCCAGATCCCTCAGAGCTTCCAACCAGCTCCAGCACTCCAGACTTCAGCCACACTCCAACACAGCACCATGGCCTCAGCCTCCCGCTCCCTTCTTCGTGCAGCGCTGCTGCTGCTGCTGCTGTTTCTGGCCACCAGCCGCCAGGCCACAGGTAGGACTCGACACTGCTGTCCTGAGGGGTAACCTCTGGTGGGCGCAACGACCCACAGTCCCGTTGACCCAGTGTCTCCTCCCACAGGGGCGCCCGTCGCCAATGAGCTGCGCTGTCAGTGCCTGCAGACCGTTGCAGGGATTCACCCCAAGAGCATTGAGAGCTTGAAGGTGACGCCTCCAGGACCCCACTGCACCCAAACCGAAGTCATGTAAGTATCTCCCCGTGCAGCTACTGCCACTTCCACAGTCCTGCAAACCCTCCCGCTGACGCTCATCCGAGTGGGACTTCCTGACGTGCCTCCTTCCTTCTCTCTGCAGAGCCACTCTCAAGAATGGTCGTGAAGCTTGCCTAAACCCTGAAGCCCCCATGGTTCAGAAGCTTATCCAAAAGATACTAAAGAAGTGAGTTGTGCTTGTGTTTGTACTTGAGGCTGGAGCCTATAAAATCCCTTTAAGGGGCTTGAAAGCAGGATCCTTGGCAAAGCTACCCCTGAGCCTTCTTAAAGAAGAAGGGTGCTTTTAAAAGGCAAAGAGATTTCCCCAGTTGAAGGCTTTTCTCTGTGAATGTTACATAAATTCTTGAACTTAGGCCAAGTGGAGGAGATAATGGCAGCTATAGGACAGGGTTGCAGGCGTGAGAAAGGAGTAAAGGCACTCTTGTGAATTAACCCAGGGTGATGTATCTTTTGTTTGTTTGGTTGGTTTTTTGGTTTTTTGTTTGTTTGTTTGTTTTCTCCAAGTGATTGACTTCACAGGATCCCAAGCTGTCAGAACCCAAGCTGTACAGAACTGTGGGTGCAGGGGTAGCCTTGTAGAAATGCCATCTAGAGCCTCAGGGACTGGGGTAAGAGAAGAATGGCTTTGGTGACTACCTATAATGGTGATTCTTTTCCCACTGCAGGGGCATCTCCAAGTGACCGAAAAAGAAGGAAGACTTCTGATGGCGCCTGTCGGGAGAACGCTGGCTTCTGATAACACTAGCTTAACACATTTTACAGTTTCTTGTGAGAGTCCTATTTATTTATGTATTTATTTATTTCACAAAGCATGTGCTTTTTTATTTTGCAATAATATTTAAGGATGTGGATGTGTTTTATCAGCGGTAGTTCAGTTCTGATTGTTCAGTTTAAACACAAGTTTAGAGTGTCTGATTAAACTAATATTTATGAGGAGAGCCGTTAGATATCGACCACTGTGATAGCAGGGCGTGAGGTGGGGAGATGAGAGAGTGTGATCAGGTTTTGTGTTAGAGCGAGGAAGTGTGTGGGAGTCCACGTTTTCATGTTTTGAAAAGAATGTCAGTTATTTATTGAAAGTCATCTTTCACATTATATGACCAACATTGACATGTTGAAGCATCCCTTGGACATTTTTATGTCTAGTTTGTAGGGCATAATGCCCTTTTATAGTCTTTAACCAATGTTTCTTCTTGTCTTGAGACCGAGAAGTTCGAAGGACTGTTACAAATGGAATTAAAAAAATAAAAGTTTTATCAAAAAATAACATGGGTGCTTTTTGTTTTATTCTTCTTGAGAGCCGTTGTTTATAGTTAATCCTGTACATGTGCTGACGGGCATTTCTTATGACTCTTGCTTACTCAAGGAGGGAGAATTGGTACTTCTGAAAAAACACATTCTATCCTACCCCAGTCTTCTTGATAATTGTAGCTTTATATAAAACATTGCTATTTTCTACACTGACCAATTTTTTATTCAAAAGTAGTACCTTTTCAAAACATTTTTGTTGTTGTTGACTTTAATTTTGAGAGAGGGATCATGCTGTGTTGCCTAGGGCTGGCTTCGAACTTCCCCTCATGTCTTCTTGCTGCAGGCTCCCTGCTGGCTAGGATACAGGCATGCAGAGAGGCCGCACCTGGCTCTGGAGAAATTCTTAACAAACTCCTGAAGTCTTATAAACACTTAACAATGGTTCATCTTCAATTCTTTTGATATGGATGCCTTCCAAACTGTGTAATTATTTTTCCCTTTTAATGAGGTTGATGGCTTGAGGTGAAAAGTGGCTTCTTTCTAAGGAACTTAAAGCCCTGTGCTAATAAAAGTATCGGCTTAGACAAATAATGCACACTGTGAGGTAAAATACATGGTTTAATAAGACAGAATGAGTGAGATATATGGTTTTAAAGTATACCACATTTTATCAATGGTTAAAATATTAAGGAAAAATTGTAATGAATCAAGAATTTACATTAGCATATCTAAGCAATCCTGAAAAAGAACATGGAAAATTTAGAACTTAAAAGATATGGAAGGTAGAAAAGGTAGAATAAAAGAAATGACCTCAGCCCTGTATGCAAAACCTAAAGAAATAACATAGAAGTGTCTGAGGAGCCCGACAGAAAAATTCCTAAAGGTCAGGCTTATTTTCTCAGCCCATGAGACTCTCAGCTGGAACAGCTGGTTGGCTTCCAAAGAAGCAAATGAGAAATTTTCAATTGTCTGGTTTCACCAGTATTCCATTCATGTCTTTTTTTTAAACTACAGACTCCACTCTATCACACACATTGTATTTGGCTCTCATTTCTCTTTTGATCTGTATAAGTTTTTGGTACTGTCTTGTTTCCCCTCATGTGGTCAGTTTTGAGGAGTGAGAAGATGTGAGAAAAGCAGTGTACTGGAGAAAGTTTACAAGCCCCAAACCCTAATAGATGACCAACACTGCCACCACCAGCCCAGGCCTGGGGATGACTGTGGTGCAGCCATTGATAGAAAGTGGCAGGAAAGGGAAGGGTGAATCAGTTACAATTAATCTCTTCTACAAGATCCAGAATCCCAGTGTATGCAAAGAGAACAGCATACGAATTTGAATATGAGGGACATTCCTCAAAATATCTAACAAGCACTCCCCAAAATTGTCCAGATAAGGGAAAACAAGACATTATCAAAAACTTACACAGCTCAAAATGAGAGCCAAATGTGTGTGACAGATTGGAACCTAGGGAAAAAATGGATGAATGGAATGGAATACTGGTGAAATTTGGATAAATATTGAGTTTAGTGAAGAGCAATGTGCTGGGATCACATTGGTTTTGACAAATACCCTGTAACTATGCAGTATGTCAGAAATAGGAGACACAGAACAAAATGCCAAATAAAGGAACTTCTCTCTGCATAAGTATTTTCTAATTCGAAAAGTATTCTAAGTTTAATTTCAAAATTTTCATCATAATTTTGGAAAATGTACAATAAATGAAACAATTAGGTAATAGACTTTAAGACAAGAATAATAAAATTGCAATAAATTTAAATGGAACTGATGTTGTCAGTAAAAGTCAAAGATTTGGCTATGAAAATAAGATAATTTATGCTGTTGAAAGATATATCTTCTCCAGGTCTTACTATCTCCCCCTTCTTTCATAAGTGCAGATTCCCTGCACTCTGCCCAAAGTTTGGCTATAAGTCTAAGCATCTGCTTTGATAGCCTGCAGGGTAGAGTCTTTCTGAGGCCCTCTGTGGTAGACTCCTGTCTTGTTCCCTGTTTTCTCCCTCTTCTGATGCCCATCCTCTTTGCCTTTCTGAATGGAGATTGAGCATCTTAGTCATAGTCCTCCTTCTTAATTAGTTCATTTAGGTGTACAGATTTTAGTATGTTTATCCTTTATTATATGTCTTATATCCACTTATGAATGAGTATATACCCTGTGTGTCTTTCTGCTTCTGGAATACCTCACTAAGGATGATCTTTTCCAGTTCCGACCATTTCCCTGCAAATTTCATTATTTCCTTGTTTTTTATTGCTGAGTAATATCCCATTGTGTAAATGTACCACAATTTCTGTATCCATTCCTCATCTGAGGGACATCTGGGTTGTTTCCAGCTTCTGGCTATTACAAATAAAGCTGCTACAAACATGGTTGAGCCTTGTTGTGTACCTGAACATATTTTGGATATATGCCTAGAAGTGGTATAGCTGGATCTTGAGGTAGCACTATTCCTAATTGTCTGAGAAAGCACCAGATTGATTTCCAAAGTGGTTGTACAAGGTTATATTCCCACCAGCAGTGGGATGCTCCACAACCTCTCCAGCATGTGTTGTCACTTGAGTTTTTGATTGTAGCCATTCTGATGAGTATAAGGTGAAATCTCAGGTCATTTTGTTTTGCATCTCTCTGATGACTAAGGACATTTCTTTAAGTGTTTCTCTTCCATTTGAAATATTCCTCTATTGAGAATTCTCTGTTTTGCTCTGTACCGAATTTTTTTTTTTAATTGGACAGGAGCTCCACAAGGAGAGCAACAGAACCAAAAAATCTGGGCAGAGGGGTCTTTCCTGAGACTGATACTCCAACCCCCTGCACAGAAGTAGCCCATGGCAGTTCAGTGTCCAAGTGGGTTCCATAGTAATGGGAACAGAGACTGTCTCTGACATGAACTGATTGGCCTGCTCTTTGTCACTTCCCCCTGGCGGGGAGGGGGGAGCAGCCTTATGAAGCCACAGAGGAAGACAGTGCAGCCACTCCTGATAAGACTTGATAGACTAGGATCAGAAGGAAGGAGAGGAGGACTCCCCTATCAGTGGACTTGGGGAGGGGCGTGGGTGGAAAAGGGGGAAAGAGGGTGGGGTTGGGAGGGGAGGAGTGAGGGAGCTACAGGGGAGAACCAAACTGAATAAACTGTAATTAATAAAAATAAAAATACAAAATAAAGATATATCTTAAATATTTGACTCAGATAGCTTGAAATTAATGTGTCTCAACACAAAGTTGATCTGAAAGGAACCCAACATCAATTACTAATGTATTAATGATACATTCACGAACAGCTGATCTATTAGTGAATGCATATAAAGGAACAAGTAGTCATAAGAGAATAAAGTCTGATTCCAATGTAAATGGGACTATTATAGAAGAGACAAAGTAATGTTTAAATTTCACAAATAGCATTAAAATACATAAAAACAAGCTGGAGAGGTGAACAAAAAGCAGTAGAGAAATCAGAAGATGCAGTGAAAGATTCTTCATGCCTGGTGTGATGGTGGCACGCACCTACAATCCTTGTGCTTAAGGGTCAGCGAAAGACTTGTCTTGGCTGCATGGTGACTCAGGAGCCACCACAGGCCACATGAAATCTTGTAGCCTTAAAAAAATAAAATAAATAAAAAAGGATTGGAGCTAAGGTGTCTCTGTATGGTTCATGTTGGTCCTGACTATGGAGTCCACCCACCTCAGCCTCAAATTCTGAGAACTGGATTACAGGAGTTGCCACCCTGCTGACACCCACAGATAAAGATTCTCACTATATCTTCATTCCCTGCTTAATAAGGTAGGTAGTGAAATATGCCTAGTCGCATGGAGGATCTCAAAAACATAACTGTGTCTGCTTGACTGATCTCTCTAGATAGCTTGACTGCAATTGCACAAATCCTAGTTGGGTTTTTTGGGGGGGTTCTTTTGTTTTGTTTTTGGTTCTGCTTTTACAGTGCACAGGAAACTTCCCCTACAAGACGTTGCCTATTAGCCGTGAAGAATGGATCAAACATGGAAAATGTTGAAATGCTACGGAGAACACACCCTGATCACCACTATTTCTGATGATCTTGCTTTCTAGTTGAAATAGATATGACCATACACTGTGCGTGTTTGCTGCGGGTAATAAGTCATCCCTCAGCTTCCTAAATTTGCTTTCACAATGCCAGAGTCATCTTGCATTTTCATATTCCACATAAACATCTAGCATGATAAAAAAAATATTACCATGGAAATATGTCCTCATTCCATATGTTTATTTCAGACATAGTTTTGTAAATTTTGGAGTTTCCCTATTTCTTAGGTTGCATTACGTGAATATAATGCAATTTAATTGCATGGTATGACTTCACAAAATGCTTTTTTTTTTTTTTAAGACAGCATTTTTCTGTGTAACCTTGGCTGTCCTGGACTTGCTTTGTAGATCAGGCTGGCCTCAAAGTCACAGTGATCTGCCTGCCTTTGCCTCCCAGAGTGCTGGGATTAAAGGCTTGGGCCACTACGCCCAGTTATAATTATTTTAAGAAAATGTAACCAGCAAGTTTTGTACTAAGAGCTAATTTGTAAAAGAGTCTTGGAACACCTTCCCTATCTAATATACTAGACTAGTATTAGTTATTGCTTGGTATTAATTTGAAAAGAATTTAAATGATTACAGATTGTTGAAGGCATAAACAGGTCCTTACTGAGGCTCTCATGCTTGCATGGCACACACTTTGCTGACTGAGCCATCTTCCTATTCCTGGAGAAAGTTTTATTCTTTAAGAATAATGCATGTCGGTACAAAGCAAGTCTCAGCATGTTGCAATAGTCTTTCTTTTTATGCCCTTTCCTATAACTGTGTCAAGATCTAATGAAATCCACCCTCTATGTATAGGCCATCAAGGACAATGGAATTCAGAATATATCAATAATTTGTATTCAGTAAGGAGCTATATGCTAAACAATTAAAATTGAACCACTTAGAATGAATTATGGGTTTCAGTTAGGCTCTTTGTCCTGTTATTGGTTATTCCATATTTGATCTACTTTTTCCGCATCAAGAAATCAAACTCTTTAAGTGAAAAAAAAATGCACAGAATTATGAATATTAAGTCACTTGGTAGTCTTGAAACTCAAAGTATCTCATTTACCTCACAAGGTCAAATACCATTCATTGAGTTTTGTTTTAAAAGATGAATTTATCTCAGTATACATACAGAGGAAGGCTGGAAAGCCTTACAAACAGGCATGCCTCAAGAAGTCCAGCTTTGTGACAGGAAAAGGGGCTTTAGAGGAAGTCTCAAGGCTGCAATGAGACTGGCAGGCCATGGACCCTGATTTGCTGAGTCCTGGGCAAAAGTCACAATGCATATGGAACACTGTTCATCTGGGGATCTTGATCTCTTTAGTCTCATTTCCCAGAGGACCCGGGGGAAGGGGTCAAACCCTGATCATCATTTGACGCCCCTACTACTCCTATGCTTCTTTCAAACAAGCCTTTGCTGTTCTGTCCTCTCCCTCCAGATGGTTTCCCACCTCTCAGAATTACTTCCTTTCCCTGGAAAACGTCTTTAAAATTATCCTAAGTGAGAATGTCCTCCAGGAAAGCATGTCTGGCAGCACTCAGAAAGACACCTTAGGTGCAGCTTTTCTCAAGGTACCTTGAGCATGTGTCATGTAGCTTACCACAGCATTTGTTGGGTTTTTGTGTCTTCTGCCTCACATATGTAACTTCCCTATTGCAGTGAGAGGTCAAGGGTCATAGGGTCTTTTCATTCTCCTGGCGTCCAAGGCACCTAGCTTCATTCTAAATTTTTAAATCTGGAGAAACGGTATTGAAGGCGCTGAGACAGAAGGAGAAAGGAAGTCCAAAATCAAACTGATATGTCCCTCTTGATAGAAAATCTATCAATTAGTGTAATCGGAGACAGTCCATGCCATGTGAAATGGACTGAAAGAAAAAGAGGATCATTTCGCCTTCCCGTGACACCAAAAGGCCGGTGAGTGGGTGAAAGGCTGAGTCTCCCTGTTCAAGTCTTACTACACCTGTGACTGTTCTCACTCTCTACTGGCGCAGCTTCAGGCATTCGCTCCCAGGCTCTGGCAAAGCTCCAAGGTTTTGTCTTGCCAGCTGCAACCCAGCAGGAAGTAAGGACTTATTTTTTTTTTTAAATAATTTCCTGACAAAAATGACTCGAGGGAATTTTTCTGACTTGGACAGGATTGTGTCATTTGCCCACTGGCGAGCTTACTAAGGCATCTAGAATGTTTAGACTCGGGCACAAAGAAATGGTAAACACTCTGGGGCTGTCAGCTTCCTCCTGGAGCTGTGGAGTAGAGTACTGGCTTGAACTAGGAAGAAGGAGAGATAGCAGAGACTGGAAGCCAGATTCCTGATTTCCAGAGGGAAGTCAGGGCTTTCTCATCAAAGGTCGAAGCTCATGAAGGAGCTTATCTGAGGCATAAAAGTACATTAGAGATGTACTCAATGGATGTTTTGGATTGAATAACTGAGAGGTTTAGGGATGTCTTAGTCATTCATTTTGATTTTATGTAGATGAGTGCTTGCCTAAATGTATATATGGGTACCTTATACATACTTGGTACCCAAAGGGGCCAGTTCTAGGGCATTGAATTCCCTGGAACCAGTGTTACTAAGTCAGCTGCCAAGTGAGTGCTGCTACCCAAACCTGAGTCCTCCCTAAGAGCAGCTGGGGCTATGAAATGCTGAGCCATCCCCCAGTCCCTGAGGGGTCCAGGGACTTCATGCAACATAACTACATTCTCCATCATTCTTTCCTCTGCCAGATTCATTCGTTACACAGGAAGCACTAATTACAATAAAAGAGGGCTGGCCATTGAAACATCTTGATTCCTGGTAGCAAGTGGGAAAAGCAACACAGGCCGCTGGAGTATCCCTGCAGCTCCGTCCAAACTCAGGATGAGCACAGCTCTGGACTCATTAAAATGGAAAGACATAGTAAATGTGGTAAATCGCTAGAGTATCATAAAGCAATGTTTGGGGATGATTCTCTTCCCTTCAACTTGATGGTAGTATGGCTGTAGAGTCTGGCATGGAACTTGTCATCTTTTCTCATAGAAAGGGTAATTGGAAGGGGATGGTACTTAACACTTTAGAAAAGAATTGTATTATTTTGGTAAAATGTAATTTTTTTTTTATTCTGTAAAGTTTCAAAAACAGCAAGTCAAAGGTTGTTAGGGATCCACTATGAAGACAGATGTTCTGTAAAAAGAAAAAGTGCTAGTACCCCATTTTGTAAGCAACTGTTGTTTTACTATGCAGTTACTAGCAAATATTCAGCAATTACCTTTTTAATATGTTGTGCTTTGGTGACTACTGTAGGAACCCGTTGCTTTAGTCTCCCTGTTTGCTTATGCTAACATATCAGATTGCATCCAGAAATCACTTCCGCAGAGATTTTCTGTTTTCTGACTAAAGAGAAAGTTTCTCATAAAGAGACTAACAGACTGAACACTACCCTGCTAATGCTGAAGGCAAATATTTCAGTTATTAAAACCTAAGAAAGTGATCATATTAAGTCAACAGAGATCTGTGAGCCTTAGCTATGCAAATAAAAATGAAACAAAATGCCTAGGAATAAAGTGCCAATAAACTCCAATTTCCATTGACTGTAATTTTGAAAAGAAAGTATATTGAGTAAATGTATTTGGAGGGGAGACAAAGCATACATATTTTGCTAAATTAAATACACCTTATTTATTCTACCAAAAAAAAAAAAAAAGGTCTTACTGTGAGTAAAAATAAAACCTAGGGAGCTTACATCAATTCACCAGTTTTAACCATTAGGAGAGTTGCAGCTGAGCCACGAGATACAAATATTTTAAAAATAACAATTCTCCTGAACTTTATGAATCACTTATCTTGGGAAACATCTGATTTTTCTAATAATTGAAATGACTATTTATTTTATTCACATTTTGTAGTTTTGGCTACTAAAACTAACTGAATTAGATAAGAGAGTCATCCTAAATTGTTTTTTCTTGAGACAGAGTCTCATTATACAGCCCAGATCACCTGGAACTCAGGGAGATCCACCTGCCTCTGTCTCCCAAGTGCTGGGATTCAAAGGGTGTGCCATCATTCCTTGCTCCAAATTATTTCCTAAGAGAAATAAAACCCTAATAGAAAATTGTTTTTGTTTTTCAAAAATTATTTTTCTTTTCGTACAGGGATTTTATTCCTAGGTGAGTTTTGTTTTTAGCAATATGGAGACAAAAACAAATTTTGTTTTATTTTTTAAATTTTAGCATTAATATATGCTGTTTTTTTATCAATATTAATGTTTATCCACCTGCACATTTTCAGACAGATATCACCACTCAGGGGCATTTTGACGACAAGAAATTAGAGCAGCCACTCCAGCTGGGATTCCATGTCCCAGGAACTGGTGACACAAGGTTTCATACCGGGCAGCTCTGGGTATCAGCCTGCCTCTTGCTGCCCTCCACACACCTCTCTGCAAGATGACAACACTGGCCCTCAGATGCCGAGGCCGGTACCCAGACTCACACCCACACCTTCTCAAACTTGCGTGTTATCTGACCAAGGATTAAAACCCAGGGGGAGAAAATAAAGGCTATAACAGAGCATTTACAGTAGCTTAACACGATCAGCGAAAGCAAAATCCGATCCTGAAGCGAGGGAATTCAAACCACTGAAACAAGAAAGCCCATATAAAGTGGAAAAAGAAAAGAAAAGGCGGGAAAAAAGAAAGAAAGAAAGAAAGAAAGAGGACCGAGATTGTAACCCGGCGCTTAGGCATTTCACAGTTTATGTTTGTTAGTTTTGTTAGTCGATCAGGTGTGGAGCGCTGCCCCCTCTAGGTGTCAGCACTTTGGTGACTTGACTGTCCGCTTGAGAGCCCTTGCAGCACCGCCGTCCCTAGCTGCCTCCTAAGAACAGGAGGTCTCCCCTTCCTCGGTTCGGGAGCATCTCTTACGCTAGCTAGCTAGTGCTCACCGGCACCTAGAAGCCTCAGAAGTTCCAGACTTTCACAGAGGAAGTTATACGATGTTGCAACACTCTGTCCTAGGTTAAACAGGAATTAAGCTTTTGACACATCTTCCCCCCCCCCCCAAGCCGGGTGGAAGGATATGACACAAAATGCTAGCAGCCTCGTGTACAGCCCGAGGTGACTGTGTTTCAACAGTGAACCTATGCAGATGTAAATAAATCTTCACCTCGAACTATCTATGACTATGTAGCTGACAGAGAAGCACTCCCCAGCCCCACCACCACCACCACCACCGTGAGCACACACAGCTTAATTCCTCCAGTCCTAATGACTAACGTTCCCCAGACTGTTACTTCTCCACTGATGACATCGCTCCTGCGAGGAGTCACTTGTCCTTTAGAAGGTGGTCACTGGGGCGCATAGGTCACTTCCTTCCTCTTGAGGGTTTGGGGAAGGACATCCCAGGTCCCCACAGTGGAAGGGCAGGGCGGGTAGGATGAGGCAGGCGTCACGCGCGCTCGTGTCTCAGACCCACTCAGCTCGGGGGCGGGGCACTCTCCTTCCTGATGCGGGGGCCCTGGGCCCAGGTGGGGGGGGGGGGAATTTCCCCAGTCCCGCGACTTGGGCTTTTCCAGCCACTAAGCATAAAAGGGACTCGCGGGGCTCCAGAGTCCAGATCGCTCCTCAGTGCCTCCAGCCAGCTCCCTCCTCACTCCAGATTCCAGCCACACTGCTGCCCAGCACCATGGCCCCAGCCACCCGCTCACTCCTCCATTCAGCGATGCTGCTGCTGCTGCTGCTGCTGCTGGCCACCAGTCGCCAGGCTACAGGTGGGACCCGCGGGCTGACATCCTGGGAGGAGGCTCAGGGAGGCGCAGCCACCCACAGCTCCTCTGATCCAGTGTCTTCTTCCACAGGGGCGGTTGTAGCCACGGAGCTGCGCTGTCAGTGCCTGAAGACCCTACCAAGGATTGATTTCAAGAGCATCCAGAGCTTGACGGTGACACCCCCGGGACCCCACTGTACCCAGACAGAAGTCATGTGAGTGTCTTCCCCGGGTAGCCTCTGCCATTGCCAGAGTCGCCAAGTCCCTCCTGGTGTTTACCCCAACCCCGGTGGAGCCTCGTGACTTAAAGGGGTCCCCGCTTCTCTCTCCAGAGCCACCCTCAAGAATGGTCAAGAAGTTTGTCTCGACCCTGAAGCCCCCTTGGTTCAGAGGATCATCCAAAAGATTCTGAAAAAGTGAGTTGTGGTTACACTTGCCTGGAATCTTGGTCAGAGTACTGGCATCTGATTCCTGAAATTTATAGCAGGGGAAATCCATGTTAACTACAGGCCAGACACCTGGATTGTTATTTTCATAGTTAACTTTGCCTTGTGATCATCAATTTGCTTTTATATCAGAAGGATACAACCATCTGCCCACTCGAAAATTTGGATTTAATGGTTGGTTGGTCGCTGTGTGTGTCCCTAAGAATTAAGTAGAACAGGCTAGTGTTGTGAAACCTCTTATATACTAGGATACAACACTTGACAATGCCCTTTCCGTGTCTTTGAGCTGTAAAGCGGAACTCCTGGGTTTGGTCACCGTGTGCCTCTGAGGCTCCCTGATGAAGAACGGGGATTTGCAGTGAGACCACATGAAAATCAAGTGTAGGCTCCCACCTCTTATCCTGTCTGAGTTAGTGAAGCAATAACAGGTGTACATCTTCTTTACAGTTTAAGGGAAGTCATGCCTTTGCACGTTCATTCTTAATATCGTTTGGACAGTTTGAAGCTAGAATAATTGTAACCCCAGTTCTACTACTCTCCTTTCCAGGCATCCAGGATGTTTATTGGTAGATAGCACAGCCGTGGCTTAGGTAACAGTTCCCTGATGGAGGTTAGGTGTAATTGCACTTGGAGAATTAAAGCAAGGTCCAGGGTGAGGTCGAAAGAAGAAGGCTCTGCAGTCAGTTGTATACCTACTAACAGCAACCGTTTTCTCATCACAGAGGCAAGGCTAACTGACCTGGAAAGAACAGCTGTGGGCTGCTGTACCTCAAGGAGAAAAATCCAAGAGAAAAGAAATGGACAGCACCCGGGAAGCCTGGACTGCACCTCACCTCACGAGCCTCATAGTCTGAGAGCTTATCTATTTATTTATAGACTTCTTTATTTATTTATTTATTTTTCAATGCTCAGATACTGTTATATTTATTATGCTATTTAAAGATATGTTTGCCAATTCGCTGTAATATCTTAAAAGGTCATCTTAATATGTTAAAGTTTATTTTAATAATGTTTAATGTGTTAAGTTAAAGTGAATTTACTTATGTAGTTGGAAAGTGATCCATTTTACATCTGTTCATTCATTACTTTCTGGTGGGTGAGTTTGCCACAAGCTATATCATACTCACACTATGATGGGGACTGGGGATAAGTGTGGGACAAACAGATGCGGTCAGATCACTCTCAAGCGTGTGCATGGACCCACCCCTTTTGTACGTGTTGAGAAGAATGGCAACAGCTGTTGTCTATTTCTCAGTGTTTCTATTCTACGTGTACGACATTTCTGATGTTGAATTTCCAACAACAGTGATGCCATGAATGCCCCTTGGACATTTTCCGTCTTCTGTGTAAGGCACAGTGCCTTGGTTAGCAGCTATTTTCTCATGTCTTGATGTAGAGACACTTGTTTATTTGTGTACTTTTACAAATGACAAAAAATAAACCTTTTAGTTTAAAAATACCACGCTTACGTTCGTTTTATACATCTCAGGCTTTTGTTCGTCCGTTGTACCCACGATGTGAGGAATGCAAAGGAAACCATCTCTCCCGCGGGGACAGCTACTAGCTGGAGCCTCCCTTGTTTGTCTCAGGAAGGCACATTTGACACCTTTGAACATCTATGCAGGATTTGTGTTTGAAAGAATCCCTATTTAACCTATTTTTCCCACTAGAATCAACTTGAGTTTCAACACTAGCACAATAGTTTTCAAAAATTTAACAAGTCATTTTTTTTAAAGCTCTCATTTCCCTACACTTTTCTTTATTCTTTTCTTATAAACATACCTTGCTTTTCCCCACAAAGAAGCTTGAGTCTGAACTACAGTCATCCGGGAGATCCTTCTGCAGAACTCAGTTTTTGCAATGAAGATAAAACTTAGAAAACGTGACAGACTCGGTGCTTAATCAGTGTCAAAGACCACTGTGAGGGGTTTTTCCTAACCCCCCCGGGAGAGAGCTTAATTTCCTGAAATGCAAGGTAGACAGGTCTAAATGACCTCTCAGCAGGTTCGTTTTAACTGAAACTTCCCAGACAGGCAGGAGCACATGGAACCTCCAGCACAGAAAAAAAGGCTGACTAGGAGACAGGGAAAGCTAAGCCTGTGGAAACACCCTGTGGCCCTGACCGGGAAGATAAGGTGTGGTGGGAACCGGAAAGAGAAAGAGAGGTGATTCAGCTACTGGGACCTGTCCCTGGACCATCAGTCCTAGCTCATGGTGGAAAGGACTTCCCTGGTGGCCTGGCATTCACTAACAGACCTTTTCAGACCTCCTTACTGCTGTTTCACCCTCCCCTCTCATTCTTCTGCATTTGTCTCCCTCGCCCCCTCCCCAACTAGAAAAATCTACTTTTTTTTTTCTATTTCCTCCTGTCAGGTCATTTGTACCACACTAAATTCATCTCTTTATATAAAACTGAATGGTATTTCTCCTTGGAAGGTAAATGAGATACTTTGAGTTTCAAGACTACTAAGTGACATGATATACACAATTCTATTCATTTTTCACTTAAAGAGTCGGGTTTAAGCATAAAAAGTGTGTAAATATGGTATAACTGAGGCATTTAACAAGACAGCAGAATGAGAACTCATAAGTCATTTTAAAGTACATTGAAATAACATAGAGTTCCTAACCAAATACAAATTATTGATATATTCTGAAGTCCATTGTCCTGGTAGCCTACATGTAGGTGGTGAATTTTATTAGATCTTAATACAGTTATAGGAAAAGGCATAAAGAGAAAGACTATTGCAACACGTTGAGACTTGCTCTGTACCAACATGGATTATTCCCAAAGGGGAAAAAAGAAACTTTATCCAAGAGTAGGAAGATGGCTTGGTCAGTAGAGTGTGAACCACACAGATTACCTAAGGCTAGACCCCTGCACCCACATGAAAACTGGACATGATGTTGACTTCTGCCTCTCTCTCTCTCTCTCTCTCACACACACAATTTTCTCATTACAGCATTCTTTAAATTAATCACAAATATCATTGCTTCCTATAAAATCCCATAGTTCCTACAGAGGAGAAGGTCATGACTTTTATATTAAGAGTTTTATTGTATCCCATACTTCCTTTTTCTCCCAAATAAAACAGGCAGGAAAGAAAATGTTACTTCCTTCTCGACTAATGTCTAGTAACTTTTTCCTTTCTCTCTCAATAAGGAGGAACAAGACAATAAATTGCTCAAGAGAATGTGGTACCCGAATCCATCAGAACTTCCCCGGGAGAGGTAGTAGCATTCTCTCTTGTCTGCCTCTTACACAGTTTATCCTTTTGTTCTGTCCCCTGGAACGCCTGTAAAAGACAAAGCCTCACTGGAGAGAGCTCCCATTTCCTTTGTTTTGAGACATGGCCTTTTTAGAGACCCAGGCTAGGCCCAACCCTGATCCTCCTATTTTAGCCTCCAAAAGGCTGGGATCACAGGTGTGAGCTACTATACCCAGAAACAGCTTTCAACTTTAAGTGAAACAGAAACTACGGGATACTAAAATTAAAAGCAGGGCAGGTTGCCGAGCACAAAAATCCAAGTAGACGTGAAAAACTCTAATTACCTATTCATTCTGAACGAATAATCTGTTCTGCTCCTGCTAGCAATGCTGGTGGTCATATTCCTACAGTTTAATCTAGGCTGTGTAATGAATGATTTGAATTATATTCAACTGAGAGCTCATGCCTAATTATCATAGCAATAAAGTTTCCCTGGGTCAAAGTAGTTTTTCTTTTGCTGTGTTTGAGACAGTCTCTCTGTGTTGGCCTGCCTGAGCTGGAGCTTGCTATGTAGACCATGCTGGCCTCACAGTGTCAAAATTCTACCTGCCTTTGCCCGAAGTAGTCATTTCATACTTATATAAGTTGTTGTCTTGGTGACATTAAAACCTCAGTTATGACCAACAGCATTCTATAGTTGGCCTCTTACTAACTAAATTCATAGTGGTTATTATATTAGCAAATAATCAGACTTGGCTGAATTCTCCATGATTATTTCTCCCAGTGTTGAGTTCTTCATTCAAACCTGGGGCCTGTTCCATTGATATAAATATTCACTAGTACTAGTTGATGTCATTCGCTGCATGCGATTTTGTTGTATCTGTCTCGCGCAGCCAATGCTTCTGACAGTGAGCTGCAGTGTCAGCCTATTGAGGCATCTGGGTTTTTTTTTTCCTTCCATTATTGAAAATGTCTAGTTAACCCTTGAAAGCTTTTACTGTAGCTGAAAAGAAATAAAATAGGAAACACCAAGCTAAAGCAAGGACTTCTGGATGTCTGAATGGAAATATTTACAGACTACCTAAATAGGAATATGGAACATTAAATTAAAACGAGGAGAGTGTCTGGTAGGAGAACACTCATAAGGGGTGAATCAGAAAGCAGAGAGTTAATCTGAAGGTGAATGGGCATCTATAACACACCAGCTAGCTTCTTCTTGGTGTGGTAAAACATCAGACAAAACCAGCCTGGGGTTTATTCTGCCTTGCAGCTCAAGGCGGGCATGTCACGGCAGCTGAAGCTTGAGGAAGTTGCTCACCCCTAATCCAGAGTCAGGCATCAGACAGTGACTGGTGCTGATAGTCCCCAACCCCCTTTTCAGGTACTGATCCCATGGAATGTTTCTATCCACGCTGAGCGTGAGCCTTTTTGCTGTCAGGCCTTTCTGTAGAACACTGTCAGACAGACCAGGAGGTACGTGTCGTGGTGATTCTCATTTCCGTCAAGTTGAGCTTGTCAATTGAAGATCAACAATTATATATAAGCACGCACATACAGGAAGTAATAGGGTTTTGCCTAATAATTTTACATGCTATTTGTAACTCTTCCACCCATGTGAATAGAGAACACTTTAAAGACACTGAATATTTTTCCAGATATGATTTTTTTTATTTACGATCTCATACTCATGTATTTCTGTGTACATTTATGTGTGTGGGCACATGAGTGGCACAGAGCACATGCAGAGCCCAGAGGACAGCTTTCAGAAGTCAGTTTTCTCCCACTGTGTGAATCGCAGGGATCCAAATCAGATCATCAGACTGGCTGTAAGCTGCTTTAGCTGATGAGCCACCTGGCTATCACATTTACAAACTCTGTAATTTCATAATATTATGAATGCAAAAAAAAATGTGTAAGATGCAAACTATGGGAAAATCTACTTTTATATTTATAATACTAAGGCTTCTGTAAAACATTCCATGCATATATATATATATATATATATATATATGGAACTTTTTCAGGATTCCCATTCACCTCTGTACTGTCCCAAGGCTCATCTCATCTCTTTCCCTGTCTGTCACACCTCCTCCACCTCAGCATTCTCTCTCTTGAATTCGTGTGCCTCTGATTTAACCTACCACCGGACTTTCCAACAACTCTCTAGGTATACGTTTGATCTTTAGTTGAATGCGATGATGAGTTACAGACAGGAGTCCATCGTAACAGTCAGCAGCGTACGTGTGCACCTCATTCAAACTGTCTCATTTCGTAGAACTTCACTTGATTGCACCTCGGGCTAGAAATTGTGAGTTGCTTATGCACTTGCTATTATGAATAGTGCAATATCCAAAATTTAATAGCTTGTTTCCAAATGTTGAGACCCAAGAATATATATGTAGACTCGGTAGGAGGTACTAATTATGAATGTATGTTCAAGTCGAGAAAGTAATGCCAAAAACTATTTTCAAAACGGTTGTGATGATTGGACCAAAGCAATTCATGAACGTTCCTCTTCTGCCCCCTGCTGGTCATTGTCACACTCAGCTGTTATACTGTTGACCACCTGACTGCATAATTTGCATAATTTATAGTAGTTACTGGTCTTTATGTACTTTTTCCTTGTGAGTGTAGTCTGTAATAAGGATGTCAATATCATCTCACATAGTGATAGAAATTTTAAATACAGCAACTTAGAATTAGATTATATTTAATTTATAGGTTACTTTGAAGAGAGATAGAGATAGTTGATGAGTCCTTAAAATAGTAAATCATTTTATGATCTTCATATAGTCTGTGAACTAAGATCATTATATTATTTAAATAACATTTAAAAGATATTGCTCTTGCATATTTCTTTTCAAATTTGTGCCCAGAAACCTTTGTGGCTTTTATTTTGATCTTGTAAGTACTATCTTTCAGACTGCATTTTTTGGTGTTTGAAGTGTAATTTTCTTATTCGTCAGTATTCTAATGATGTATCTGTTTGCTACTTTGAATTTTCTCTCTAGACACTTGCAGAATGTCACTAATGACAGCTTCATGGTTTTCATTCACTGTCATGTGTGCCTTTACCTAGCTTTGCTGTACTGGTGCAGCATTCCAGTGCAGTGTGGGTTTGAATGGATAGTGACAACAATCACTTCTCTTCGATTCTCAACAAACCTCTTAAACACCTTACCCCTAAGTACACAGTCGTGTTTTACAACCTTCATGAGGTTAGAATGAATTACTTTCAAAT